CAGAACGGAGCTGTTTTAATGCGATCAATAACTGAAGATTTATTTTTCAAATCCATTTCTTTAACAATTGCACCTTTTTTGGTTCTTGCACTTAAGTATTTCTTAGCGATTTCACTATCAGGAAACATTTTTCTAAATAAAGCTGCAGCGTGATCCGATGCATTCAGTGGCAGGTTGTGCTCCAGTAAAAAGGCAGAGAACAGACATTCTGCATTAATAACTTTTTGGTCCTTTGTTTCCAAAGAAAAATTCAATTTTTCGTTTTTTTTTTTTTTTTTTTTCCCCCCAAACAAGCTTCATGTTGCCCTTGTGTTTTTGTGTACGCACATGTTTGAGAACCATCCGCCCTTCCACCATGCGAAAATCGAAAAAAAATCGCAACGACAGGCGGTACACATCGCAAATTTATTACATTTCCTTGAGAAAATAATGGAAGGAAAGTCAACTGTGTACGATTTTTGAAACGTAAACGAGTATTTCACCTTTCTCGCAGACATAACAAAAGATGATAATTTCTAAAACTATTTCCCAAAGGCACGTGTACTCACACAACTCAGGACAAAATGACCGAAATAACTAAAGAACATCCAAATAACAGCTTGTTTTGTCCTCATTGGCTAATATATGCCAGATGACACGCAGTGGAGCACGATGCCCATTGGAGAACTGGAGAAGGACGTTTCTGGATACGTATATGCTCTCACTCACAAAGCAGAAGTTATCTAATTCGCAAGGTTTTGTTTTAGATATAATCTAGAGAAAATTCATTTGCTTCGGACGTCCAAAATCACTTTTTTTGTTCATATAACAAAGTATTAAGCCAAGTTCCATAAAAATCGCGAGAAATTTTAAGAATAAGAAAAAGTCAGGAGAAATATATTGTAAATCGGATTGGCGGGAGAGCGGTCGAAAATCGGAGTCTCCCGCCTAAATCGGGAGAGTTGGCAAGTCTGATATAAGAATACAGTACACTTCAAAATTTGTCTTTCAATACTAAAGGAACTGGTATGCAACAGAACACAAATGATGTGATCATTATCATCATAAAAAAATTTTAATTGAACAAAACGCTTTACTGATTCAGGTGATCAGCGAAAACAAAATTAGGTCAGTTCAACCAGAATTCTTGCATTTAATTGTTCCAGATGACCAGATGATCAAAAATTAGGTCAGATCAACTCTTAACTTCTTTTCTTTCAGTCCTACAAATCATCAAACTTTACCAAGTCTACTTATCTTAAAATACACTAGCTGTTGTCTTCACTTCTGAATTTGGATATTCATTTCAAGTGTTCATTTTTGAAGTTCAGGTTTCCTAATCCCATGTTGGGCACCATATATATAACATATTTTTTTGTTATAAAAAATTCAGAGTTAGGAAATCTCAAGGCCAATAATTAAGTTATTATCGCATGATACAGGTATTGGTAATAGTATATTTTAGGGTACCCCTTGGAGAAACTTGGCGATTTTGGCGGTACATGGATACCGAATTTGTGCAATTATTTGACTTGTTATTTTGGCTTGCATAGCGGCAATATTTGCAAAAATCGCCGCTATACAAAGCCAAAATAACAAGACAAAGAATTTCACAAACTCAGTATCCAGGTATACATCGACCCATTTTCACTTAAAAAAAAAATCTCAGAATTGCACAAAAATGGCATTGTGCACTCTCTTGACTTTAGCCAGTGACCTATTTTCACTTAAAAACAAATCAGAGAATTTCACAAACTAGGCTTTGCACACTCCCTTGACTTTGTCCATGTACACATCGAACTATATTCACATAAAAAGTCAAAGCAGCAGCCAACAAAAAAATATATAATCTGAATAAACTACATTTTAAATCAAACAATGAAATAACATAAAAAAGGAAATTTATCTTAGCACTATATGAAGGAAATATCCACTTACCTTATATATGAATTTACGCATCTTCAGTGAAACACAATTCCTTAATAGCATCCAAACACTTCTTAAAATTATCTGAACTAGAATTTGTATACTGGTGTCGCCACATAAATTCACAAAAATAAGTGCAAAAAATATCCTCCGTTCGAAAATATCCGATGTTCGATCATACGCATTTCCTTCCTCCAAACAGGACACTTAATAATGGCTACTAAGTAAACCTTCATTTACACACCAGTCAATTAATGCTTTTTTCCCTTTCATTTTAAATCCTACAGAACTTCAATCTAACCACATTCAACCAATTTACCGTGTAAACCACAAAAAACCAACGTACTAATCCACCACACACAAGCGCTTACCCAAAATCTGACACACACTTTCCAAATTTTTTTCCATAATTCAAATTCACCGCAACCAATTACGTCATAATAAGGTTTCCATAGCATTCAACTACTCAGGTTGTCATAAATGAGACAACAACTTGGCGATAAATGAAACAACAATTTCGCGATAATACAAGGGGTACCCTAAAGTCAACTCTAACACAGGTATTTTATTCATTTAAATCTACACAGACAAATATAAAAGTAACCATCCTGTTGCTACAGTACTTGCACAAGTTGTTAACTGAATTTTTCTGATCACATGACTCGTAGCAGGAATGAAAGCTCTTGTGGCTAAGTCACAATTCTTTATGCACCACATGACCAAGAGCAGATGCTCTGAATCACTGTATCTGTTACACACATATGAGGCAAGTGTAGAACTAGATTTCAACACATTTACTATCTCTTAATTTTTCTACTGCTTTTGAATTCTTCTGACCATTAAAATATTCTGCTTATACTTAACATGATGTTCACACACACACAAACTCTAAAATTAGGTAAAAAAAGCAATCTTTTTTTCATATAGGTTTTGAATAAAACTCCTTAGATTTTAAGGTGATCAGACACAGATCTTTTCAGCTGCAAAAAAAATGTGGAAGAGGTAGGTTGGTTGGTTATTTGAATATGGTAAAGCACTATTCAAATAACCAACTAAATAATTACTTAAGAGCCATTTGCCTAAGAGGAGGAATGCTTCAGTGGAGGATTTTCTAAGGGAAACTCTCTTGTATTCATGTTACACATAGGGGAAACCTATGAAAAATTAATTATGCAGTCATCCTGTTTACCTTGGCTCGAACCCAAGTTGAACTACTACTATTTAAAAGTCTTTACCATTCAGCCACTGGTGGACTGCCCTTGAAAATCGCACATATAAATTTTATTCAAAATTCTATGCCCCCCCTAAAAAATTGCTTTTTTGTTTGATGTTAAGTTTTAGACTGTTGTGTTTTTCTTCCACTTAAATACACACAATGATGTCAGAAAATGTGACTTAATTACACACAATGATGTAAGAAAACGTGACACACATCTTATTATAATCTCCAAATGTGTCAACATCACCATGCAAGTCTGTTCACTCTTTAAGCATAAAAAGAGATTACAAAAAGGAATATTAGTAAAACCTGGAAAAAGATCTAGAAAATACAAAATAATTTTGAGATTCAGATTGCACATTTTACCAGGTTGTGATTATGAAATTCATAACTTCTGAAATTTTGTTCTTTCCATATGCCCATGATTTATTTTTTTATATAAATTATTACAATAATTTCATCAAATATAATTAAATGTTTTTGTTATGCCTAAATTTGATGGTTATAACTTGTTTGCACAGCTAGGATTGAAAGAAATGGCTTTTAAATACTAGATGAAATAAGAATCAAAATAATAAATTTGACATTTGTCAATAAACAGAACATATGCTATTTTTTAATACCCATCTTCTTGGTTAAATGTTTTACTCAAGTAATAAAGTGCATTTTTTGGCAGTGTGCTTAATGGATAAGATCTTCAATTTTTGACACAATATGGATTTTAAGAACTACCTATAATAAAAAATGTTAATTTTTCTCAACCATCAGCTTTAGCTAGTTAATGAAAATTAAGATTTCTTTTCTCTTTAACATTTAATTACTTTTAACTTATAATTACTTTTAATTACTCTTTAACATTTAATTACTGCACTAAAATTTAATATGGAAGTAAATTATAAAATAATTTTTCTCAATTGCATTATAAATGTCTTTCAAAGTTTTTTTATTAAATGCAAGAAATAATCAATTTCTTGAAGCACAATTGTTTTATAAAGCACAGTTGTAAATTCTTCACTTACTGTTTTTCTCATTGTGTTATATCTCTTTTTAATTCATGAAGTTCTTATGTTGAAAATGATGCATTATCAGTTATCTGCAGGAGTGCTAATTATTGTTTCACAATTAAGGTTAACTAATAGCTTCTTTTGATATAATAATTGCTTTTTAAACTGTGACAAAAAAGCAAAGTGGTCAAAAAGAAAAACAGTACAAAGGGAGATAATTTTCTCCGTCATATCAGGTTCATGGATAAATCTATCACAAAAGCATCTGAATGTAAAACAGAAGCAAAACCCATGAAGATATCAAAATTTTAACATTTAAGCTTACTTATACAATCCAATGTTTTCATAAAAGCTTCCACTTATTTAAACAACAAACTGAATACATATTCTTATGAAAATACACACATTCTTATATATAATTGTTCTTATGTATATATGTATATTTTCTTTTTGGGATAATATAATTAGCAGTTCGTATGAATGCTAATATCAATATGTTGTTAATTAGAACCTATATCTACAAAAATGTAACTATACTATCCAGACACACACACACACATAAAAAAAAAAAAAAAAAAAAAAAAAAAATTAAAACCTTAACAACTTCTACAAGAATTAAGACATTTTTAATAAACAATTTTATAATGTATTTAAAAATGTATTATGTGTTTCATGACATAATAATATAATAATTGTATATACATATATTACAACAAATTTGTATATACATGTATTACAACAAATTTTGTAGTTTTATAATATATTACAGTTTTATATTTACTGTATAAGCTTAGCATGTATTTTTAATAAATTTCGTACAACATTCTAAAGACACTTTCGAATAAAAAAATAAAAAATACTTCATTTCTTACATTGTTTTGAAGTCCATCAATTTCTGTTATACCATTATGGCTCAGATACAGATGTTCAAGGTTGACACAATTCTCCAAACCTTCAATTTTGCAAATCCTGTTACTCTATAAAAGATCAAACAAGATCTAAGAAGATTTATTTATAAAAATGAAACAAAAATAACAAGTTTAAACAAAAACAAACAAAAAATTAGGTAACTTAGCAACTAAAATCAGTAACAAATAATAATTTTTAAATTTACCCAAATAATTCTAAAATTAAAAAGAAACTCCGAATAAGCTACCTGAAAGGTTTTGCAAGTTCAGGTATCGTTCTCCTAGCAGCAACTTGAAAAAGTCCAATACAGTTTCAGTTCTTCCTTGGTAAAAAGTATCTGATTGCTAACCACACAATTCCAGTTGAAGGTCTGCTCTGTTTACATTCTCAATAGAAATTGTAAGAGGCTGAGTAAAAACTGAAATCTCTCTTTCGATTTTTTTAAAGTCCCTAAATCAATTTTCTAATTTTTCAGCAATTATGTCAATGTATTTTATGTGAGATAAATATGACACTTCCTCAACATGCTCTTTACAACTTTGAAAAAATGAAAAATATTTTTTTTTCTAATGAAGACTTGAAAAAATTTCATTCTTAAACCCATTTATGTGTTCAAATAAGTTGGCAATATTCTGCTTTTTCATTGTAGCTTCTAAATTCAATTCGTTAAAGTGAGATGTCAAGTCTGTTAAAATGAAAGGCCTGCTAAAAATTGTGCATCTGCCATTTGATATTCCAATTCTGTTGTGTTAGACTTCACTTCATCTTTAAGGAAAATAGGAATCTCCTTGCATAGAGTGAAGAATCGTTGCAAACAGTTTCTGCCACTTAACCAACGAATATCGCTGTGAAGTAACAAGTCCCCATATATAGCATCTACTTAGGCCAAAAAAATCATGAAACTTTCTGTGAGTCAAAGCACGATTGGCCCCTCTAATGATGTTAGTTATTTTAACAACCACTTTCATAACATTAATTTGACATAAGGATTTTCCACATAGGACCTCTTGGTGAACAATAGAACATATCACAGGACAGATGATGCTGTTTTGTTTCAAGAGTCCTGCAAATTCAATTTCAGTTTCTATCATAGCTCTGACTCCATGAGTGACAATACAGGCACATTTATCGAATCCTTCATAGTCTGCCACCACCTTATTTACAGCTTCAAAAATATCCATATCCTTGGTTGTACCATGGAGAGGAATAAGATCAAGCATCTTCTCTGCTGCACTGAGGTCATGAATAGCTTGGATAAAAATTACAAGCTCGCTAATGTTGGGAAGATCAATACTTTCAGTACTTTCAGCCAAGCATAGCAAAAAATATTTACATTTGTCAACCATGTCATGCAATTTTTTGGATACATATTAGATTAATATGGTCCACCCCTCTTGCAATTGTTTGATGTGACACTGAGACTGTTTCGAATTTTTTGGCAAGTTTTGTTTCATTGAATTGTTTTGCCATTTTGATTGCACAATTTTTAATGAGCATTCCATCACAAAATGTTTCTTTGCTTTGACAGTTTCCAGTGCTACGTTGTAAGAAGTGTCAATACTGCACTTGTTATCAGTGTCAGATTTTTTGAAAAAAAATCGATTGTTTTAGTTTTTTCTTATATTAATTAATTTCTTAATTTTTATTATGGATTTTTGCCCTTGATTTAAATTTTCTTCTGTAACTGGTGGATTGCCTTTATTTTTAACCTGCCAGCCCACAGTTATTTGAAAGCTTCATCTACTTTCCTTATATTTTTTAGTCAATAGCAGTTTATGATATTGAATCACAGGGCCTGGATATATATGCACTGAAGTGCCAAAAAAAACTAATACAAAGAAATCTAAGAAAAATATATAGAAATGCCATTTATGCACGTCACTGGCTGTATTAACCAGTACATATATAAAGTAATCTACATCTGTGAAAGTTTTCAGAGCTAACTTTGTCTTGAATGGCACGAAATCAAAATTGAAGTCACTATTTAACACAATTTAATAGTTGGAAATCATGAGATGCATCACAGCATTTTGGAGACAGAGATGAAGTTTGGATTTTCAGATACAATCATTTCAAAAACATACTTAAGCCTTTAAAAAATGTGAGGAATATTCTCTCTGTAACATGACTCAAACCCTTGATGAAAGCATGGCAAAAAAACTATATAGCTGTCCTCGGTTTGAAAATACCATCACAAGGCACTGGATGACTAGTAATGAGTAGTTTAGTCTGACTAATTGCACTTTCAACTGTTTAAGGTGGACTAAATGATTTGAGTAAGGAGAAAACCTCACACAGCCATAAAATCCTCATGTAAAACACAGATAAGTTCTGCAGGCACCATAATGTTATGCAGTTTACTTAGTTTGTATTCAATAAGAGCATCTGCATATACACACATCTGCATGCAAAGTATGCTTCTTTTTTGATGAATTACACTCGCTCATATACTGCACCCATTCTAGAATATTTTCCCATAATCACAGAGTCCATATCCTGTCTTATTTTCTGCAGATCTACACTACCATAAGACATCTACTAGATTGGTGTATCAGTTCTTCTGTCAAGCTGCACACAGAGATATATCACGAAAACATAAAATGCACATAGCATTAATTTATTTTATCATTTCCTCCATAAAATATATATAAATTTATCTAGAAAATTTTCATTCTTAGGATCTAGCATCAGAAAATAATAACATCTACTTGTTTTAATAAGAAAAACAGTAATGTAGTTACATATTGGCAGACCAGTAAACAGAATAAATTTAGGTATAAATAAATACAGAGCATTTTTAACAATTTTTCCTCAACAATTTTCTCAGTAATATATTCTTTTTCTTTATTTACTTTATTGTTTGAGCACAGTATAAATACAATACATAAAATATGAATACATCAACTATTTATACTATCAGAAAAGGTTCTGATAAACAGTAGTAGTAGTTTAGTTTTAGAGATGTCAAAAGTTTCACATAAATTTTAAATGGAATGCCAGTACCCCAGCTCTAGCATCAACCCATGACTAAATCCTTTATAAAATTGATTTGCAGAACACCTAGATTAAATACATATTTTTTCCCACAAATTATGATAAATATAGCAAATAATAATTTAAACTACATGGCAGGAATTTCTAAATTAACTAATAATCTTTAGTATTTTTTACTAGAATCATATATACACGATATGGTTCAAGATGATTTCACACATTTTATAATTTTTATTTTATACATTAATAATTTTCTAGATGGAAATTTTCATATTTATTACTGCTTTATATTCCATACTTTTTAATTCATGTTATTTTATATTTATTATTAACATAAACATACACACACATACAAAGGTAATAAATATAAAAATATTCATACTTGTAAACTCAGCAATTCTAAATGCTCTAAGGAATCCAGGTTCTCAATTTTTGAAATTTTATTTTTGCCTAAAAACAAACTTGTCAGATTTTTCAATCCTTCTAAATTTTCAATTTTCTAAAAATGGGAAGGAAAGTAAAGTACATGAACAAAGCTGGCAAAAAACAGCTATATAATAAGTTATTAAAAATATATACAAGAGAATTATAATAATCCACAACTGCTTAATCTACAAATGTCTGTAATCTACATTCAGTTTTGAATGCAAATGGATAAAATTTTGATTTTACAACAATTCATTATGGCTTATAGAAAGGAATTTTTTTCTAATACACACATGAAATTAAATTTTTAAACAAAAAATACACTATATTTATACAACATTTATATTTTGGTTGAAGAAGTAAATTAATTTTATTATTAAGGTTATTTAGCATTTTCTGCATCTGTATCAGTATACTTTATTCAAAATAAATGCACATCATAAATATCAGCATACTTTTTACTTTAGATAAATTCCTACTCTCAGTGCATATTCTGCTCTTTCTTGATATTAATCTGGAATTGTGTAGAAAATTAATTTTATAATTATGTTGCAAGGTCCAATACCAAAAATCTGCACAACCTCTCAAAATGTAAACATTCACTTTATTGTCTCAGGAAACTAGGAGGGTTTGGTTTGCTTTGCTTTGCTTTAGTTACGGCAAAGCCTCGAGGGCTATCTGCCTAAGAGGAGGGATGCCTTCGTGGAGGACTTTCTAAGGGAAACTGGCTCGTATACACGTTACACATTGGGAAAACCACGAAAACACCCATGCAGCCAGCTCGTTCACGGAATTCGAACCTCGGACCGAACTACCAGTGTTCAGTGACTTTACCGCTCGACTGTTGGTGGGCCTTGCAATATGGAGAATGAAATATCAAAGAAAAGAGAAATACAGTACAATTCCAATTATCCGAATCGCTTTCAGAATTTTTCAGAATCAACTGAAGAAGACAAGAGAAAGGAGAAAAAGGAAAAAGAAGCTCAAGAAAACAGGGTTCACACACATTTCTGCACACAGAAATTAAGTACTTTTAAGGACCATTAATGAAAAAAAAATTAAGGATCTATGAGCAAATGAGAACTGAATAAATTCAATTAAAAATATTATCTATGCCTGAATTTCAATTTTGTAATACCATCCTAAAAATAAAATAGATTCTTAAGCAGTATGCATTATTACTAAACATGAATTAATTAAGATAATTATTAATAAGTGTGAGAATAAACTAAACTTTATGCAATTTATCAACTAGCATTATATATTTTACACTTATAATAGTTGGACATATTTGAAAAAAAAAAGTGACATTTACGTCTTACTAACAGTAAGCTTTATGTTGAATTTTTTTATGTCTCATTTTGTCACATACTTGGTCAATCTAGAGGTTTAGTAAATAGCAGGTAGATTTTATGTCAAACAGCATAGGTTAAAATGAGAAGTAAGATCACAATCAGCATGATTCATAACAAAAAAACTTAATGTTCTCACCACCTCTGCTTGTCTAGGGAGAGATCTGCTGATTAGAACAAATCTGAAAGGCCTTATGTAGGCAAGGTTGGCCAAGTGTTGAAAGTTAGTCAGGCTCTGTTTGATGTAGTTAGTGTCGTAACTTTGTGTAGAGTTCCAGGGGTTGTAACCCAGTTAATATACTTTAAGGGTAAAGCACCAGAGGTGATAAGTTGTTTTGTATTAAAAGTCTCACTAGATGCAAAGAATAAGTTTTACTATAATTTTTACATCTTTGTGTTTTATCTTGTGACCACAGTGAGTATTTAATGAAAGGCAATAACTCACTTTAATATGTGGAGATAATTTTTAAGAGTATGCAGTTAGTTATAAATAATTAAATGAGGTAGTTAAATAACCTTAGTCATTATGGAATTACATGGCCACTATTCAATTTTATTTTTTTTTAACAATATTTGTTACAAAAGCCCTATTAAAATCAAAATCTAATAAAATTTCACAGTTTAAAATACATGTAATTTATGACATTGATTCTTAAACGATATTAGGATAATTACACATTAAAAGCTACAAAACATGAATGTTTTGTAGCTTTTAATGTTTGTAGCTTAAACGATGTTTTGTACCAACAAAACTGAACAAAATATTTATCCGTCATTTTAATTTGAAGCCTTCTCAAACATTTTGGCTATTTTATATCAATTTCCTTCTCTTTAATCATCTTTTCTAACAATTACAGATTTGTTCCAATATGCAAAACAATGCTCTCTCTAGTTTCTGTGTGCTTTATCTACTAACCTGTCAACCTCTCCACATTGTACCTATGAGGGTTTACTTGATATGGTAAAAGTTAAATAGTCCAAAACCCCCGACAGACGTGAAGCAAATTATCAATATGAATGAAAGTAACTACAATATCAGACAAAGGTTTAAATAAACCTCTTATTTAAAACGAACATAGAAAATAAAGGCATGTTCTGATGCTAACTTAATCAGTTACAGCTCACAGTGACGTAATTAAACAAGAACAGTCAAATTCAAACTAAAAATGTAGACTAGTGGTCAAAGATTATATAATTTAATTTTAATTTTATCTGGTTCAGTAACTCTACGAGGAAACAGAAATGGGAAATTATGGTAAAGGCTGAAATCATACACCATTGGGTAATTTACATAATAATAACTGCACATATCTTTGAAGAATAATTTTCTTTATGTATTCAGTTTCTTTCTTGAACACGTTTCCTTTCCATTTTAGAATTTTTGGATTTAATTAAGGATTTCTGTTATTCTAAAAAGCACTAAATGCATTTAGAATGTATAGAAAGATTGGCTAATTTTACTTCATTAGTAATATGAACATTCAAATTTAATGACACACAGAACAACAAATCTAGAAATGGCAAAACTTTTAGAATTTAGAGCAGGCATTGGAAGCAGAATTTAGAAAGCCACTAGGCAGCAAAAATTTAGGATCCATAGAGATTGTATCAGGTGGAAAATGCCTAGTGCCAGCTCTGTGTATGAGGCATTAAGACATATTAGACGAATCTTTTAAATTGTAAGTGTTCAATTTCTTTATTAATAAAAAATCCCTGGCCATGTGATAAGATCAGAAGCATTTTTGATATTTTACATGCTTGTGTCTAGTGAAAAGTAGAGAAAATAAAGGGAAGATAAACATATTAAGAAAAAGATTCTAGTATCAGAAGTAAAACGTTAAAATATTATATTTTCATTATTCTTTCAGAAGTTCTCCAAGAAGAAAGATATTCATCACAAACTTTCTGTAAAATACACTCATTATGTGCTGATACCATGGAGACATTTTTCATTTTGTCACATATTTCTCGAATCTTCTAGAATCGTGTGTCTATAAATCTTGCTTTCAAATCCTTCTAAACTTTCCAAGCTGCAATGTCTAAAATCCTAAAGAAAAACTATCCCTATTTTAATTAATTACACAGCTAATTTTGCTTTTTAAGAGCTGTTTCATAAATTGTGCTTTATAGCATTATACCTTGTTTATTTTTTCAGATTCAAAATACTGTACAATAAAGTTGCCAAAATGAAACTATAATATGGCAGCGAAAAATAAAAATGTTTTATTTTAATGTTATTTTTTTAAATATAATTTCAATACATTGCCATTATTTTAATGAAGTTTATCAACGTTATGATGTTTTAAAAAAAATCGTTGAAAAATTCTCAGATCTCGGAATTAAAATTTTTCTATAGAAACTGACCTTAAAATCGCCAAAATGTTGATAAGTTGCGAAATTTAGAACCGTTTAATAAAAGAATTCACATCACAAAAAGTGAAAAGTTGTTTTAGAGCTCTTTATTAGAAAAAATTGCATTTCAAAATGCTTACGTTTCACTTCTTATTTAGAAATGCAAGTATCCCATCATTTATATTAGAAATAGAAACAAATTATAACCCATGAATCCATTAAAAAAATAACCATATATGTCAGCAAATTGCCAAAAATATTCCTCCCAAATGCTAATTCACTCTCAAAATGGCAGTTGTAAAAACAGACAGAAATTTCAAATGATTAAAATTAAGGACCTTCTGCTTCTTTTGGCCAAAATTAAAGACTTTTAAGGCCCAACAATCAATTTCAAAAAAATCTAAGGACTCTTAAGGACCCTGGAAAAGGAAAGAGAAGAGACAGTAGAAGATGAGGATGACATGTCACTTGAGGAATTCAGAAACATTCTTTTGAAAAATCCTGGATGTTCAGAAGTTAGTGCTGAGGATACAACATAATGGATGGTGTGGTTCCTTAGACCCTGGGTTTCATATTCTAAATTATGATGAACTAATTGAAATTGTGGGAGAAGAATGTGTCAAGGAAGAAGATGACCTTAACGTCAAAGTTGAAGCAGACATGGGACCATCAGCTAGTGAAGCGTTTGCTGGTGTTGAAGCGGATGGAGTGTCAGCCCGAGTGAGTCCACATGCAGTTTCTCACTGTGAAGCTGATGTGTGACTTGGCTCTCCGAAAACGGATGAAGCCAATCAAACAGCTCACTTTGAATGAGCTGTTCAGCAAGCTATGACTTTCAGTACTTATAATTGCTGTACAGTATGCTATATAACATGTGTAAAAGTGCTGCCTTTTGATTTTAATTAATTAAAACCTCTATTTGTTTAAAAATAGCTTTTTCTCCCACTTTCAACATACAGTAATTAATTAAAGTGTACATAGACCCTTTCTTCAGAAAAAATCCAATTATCCAGATTTTTGATTATCTGAATGAGATCCTGTCCCAATTGATTTGAATAATTGGAGTTCAACTGTACGTACCGAACAATGACATCATAATGGAAACACTAAATCACTGACATCATAGTAAAAGTAACAGTGTGGGATTATCATCAAATTGCAAGATTTTCCTATAATTAGACAATTGCTCTGCACATCCAGATGCAACTACTTTATTGTGTGATAATATCCTTTTCATGCCCCCAAATACTACATAATTGATCAAACCAAGAACCAGGTCATAATACACAGTATAAAGAATTTTCTGGAGTTGAAAACTGAAGAGATAATAAAGGGGGTAACAAAGAAATTATCACATAATAAATTGAAAATTACATTTCTATCATTTTTTGCAATTTATTAATCCAACTGCACATGTATGAAATACAATGCAGAATTAGCATAGGAATTAAATTTAAAGAAAATCTTATAGGAAATTTTGCAAACAGGGTTTTATTTAATTTTCTCTTGTTAAAGAGTGTAAAAATTATTTTTTTTGGTAAATACATAATTTTTTTACATAAAATTCTTTAATGCATTTTTACAAAAAGAGATCATTACTTTCTTCAAATATTTCCATATTTCATTTCTCTGTTACATTTTCCCATTGAACTGACATTATTTTCTTTGCATGTAACAGTACTTAATATGTGTATTTTCAATAAATCTTAACTAATTCTTAAGGTATGAGCATATTTTAATTATTTATTTATTATGAGCAAACAGATCAAATTTAATGCAAGAACTAAAAACAGAAAAATGTTAACAAAATTCAGAAAGACAGACCTATAATTCACAAAATTCACTATTCTGTACAAATATTGATTATCAGATTCTCTACATCAAAAAGGGTTCAAAGCATACACCATATGTGAAATATATAACACAATTTTAAAGAAAACTATTATTCTATACATAAAAGGTTACCAATAAGTAAAAGAAAAAATGATAACTTAAGTATACCTATGAAAACATACAAACTAAATACTTAATTTTTTTTAATTAAAAAATATTTAAAACTTTTCAAAAGCCACTTATTACTTTTACGATGACTATTTTACTTAAATAATAATACAATCTGGTAATAGAATTTATTTCTGGTATAAATGTATACTGAAATTTAGATTAAAATGACTTACTCTTATTTTATTTGATCCAAGTTCCAACATTTCAAGATTTTCTAAATGCCCCACATTTTCAATTTTGGTGATTTTGTTGTTGATTAAGAAGAGTTTTCTCAAATTCAGTAAGTTATCTAAATTTTCAATTTTTGTAATGCGATTAAAAGAAATGTCGAGTATTCTATAAAGAGGGGGGAAAAATTGAGTTTTTTTTTTTTAATGAAAAAAGAAAGGTAAGAATACTATACAAATATGAAACATATTTTTAAAAGAAAATATATAATTAGTTGCTTACTCTAAATTAACCAAAGCATCAAGATTTTCAATTTTTGTGATTTGGTTGTCATACAGTTCAAGCTCTCTTAAAGTAGTAAGGGTGTGTAAATTCTCAATCTTTTTAATCAAATTATTTCTCAAGCACAAAGTCTGAAATAAACATTATTTGTAATAAATAAAATACAATATCATAATAAAAATACACTAATTTAATAACTGAATGTAAAAAAATGTGAAATCAGTAAAAACAACAATACAAAATTAAAATGCATTTATTTTTGTTGATATCTTAAAATAATTTTGAATGTTAATTTTTAATATAAAAGCTGCAAATTAATGTAAGCACTTTCTGAATATCTACTCAACCCTTGAAAAGAGCTTGCAATGCAATGCACTGTGCCACCAAAACAGGAAACCTATAATTTCAGGAAAAGATATTTATGTAGCAACCCAGGTATGTGCATACATACAGCACAAAAGTGCAGATTTCGGCTTTTCAAATTTGGCGGTCATTTTTCTCATCAGTGCTTAATAAGACTATGCATTCTCCCCTCATAAAGCATCCTAATAGGACTGTGGAGTCTACAGTTGATGATAACGAAAGCATTAGATTTCTTCAGAAATATGTTATTTTTGCCTAACAGCAGAGAATGCAAAAATTTATATTCCACTGAGCTGCATTTTGTAAATGATCAAATTTGTGTACAAATGCCACAATTTGTGGAATTCTCTGATATTTCTTTTAGCGGAAACAGATCTTGTGTACATGGGGAAATGACAGTGTATGCAGTGCCAATTTTCTTGAGTTTTGTTATGAATGTTTTTTTTTTCTATTTTTACTTCTTTGCATGAAATAAAGGAAATATTGGAATCACGAAAAATTTTAAGTATCATATTTTAATGGAAATATCCATTTTGACTTTTTTTTTTTGCATGACATTTGTACCACACAGGTAATTGAGTTTGGTATATATTCATTAATCTCTCTTTTTTTTATTAAACTTATTTGATTCTTCCTTTCACATTTCAAAATCCAGGTTCATTCCAAATAAAATTTATCAATTTTTTATGATTTATTTTTATAAATTTTTCAAAAAAAAATTCTTGAATTATATTCTATAAAATATTTACCATCATCTTAAAGAAGACATATTTCTAAGCATACCTGGAAAAATTACAGTTTTTTATTCAAAATTTCCGAAGATACACGCAATTTTATATATTGGCGCATTTTGAAATTTGGCATATTTGTTGAAAGCGATAATAACATCTAATGTGGTTTACACACTTTGTTAAAATTATTTGAAAGTATGTAGGATGACTTTTTCTCCGCTCGTCACAATTACAAGGTAGGACGAGGTGTAAATTCCCGCTCCGGCATAATAAGGGGAAAACGAAAATTGGGTTGCTATAATATTGAGAAGTTTCGCCAAGTAAATTATTCTTGGCAAAAACTCGAAAAAAATACGGCCAAAATAAATTTTTGAGATTTCTCTGTAAATTTTGCACCAAATTTTACTAAATTCTAATATTATTTTGAGTCGTATAATCGAAATATGGAAAAAATTGGATGTTATTTCAGAAAAAGTCTGATTTTGTATCAAATACCTATGTTAGAACAATGCTATATATTAATCTAATATATGTCCTAAGTTGCGCTCTCGAGACAGGAAAAATGTAATTTGAATTTTGTCAATCGGCGCAGTAGAATGGGATTATATAGAACCGTCCCCCCTTTTTTTCTTGCGCAGTATACATAGGCATGTATCTTGCATGACTAAAAATATCCATTCTGACTATTTTTTTACAAAACAGATTGCAAAATGGATTTTTTTATGATGTATGTATGTAATTCACGTAACTCAAAAACAATTAGCTGTGTAATGCTGAAATTTTATATATGATACTGCTATAACATCTAGTTGCGCACCTCCTTTTATATTACATTTGGCAGCACTAAATAAAAATAAATAAGTATACACAATGCACACACACACATATATATATATAGCCACTCCTCTTACCTGGCTGTCTTTATTTTCACAATCATTGGTTGTAGTCATATACTTCCAACTGCAGAATTGTTTTAAATGATGAAAGTATTCCTGTTTTGGCAACGTCAAATTTTAAAAGAAATTAATTTTTGACAAATAACAAAATTTAACTTTTAAAACAGTCTCTCAGTATCTATACTTATATTTGGGAAAGCTTTATACTCGTTATGAAAAAATAAAATTATAAGAAGTTTCACTTCCATACAACAAAAATTGATCAGGATATTTAATTTCAAAATTTGCATTTTTTATTTCATTTTCAATTTGCATTGAAGGCTTAGTTAATTTAGAATAATTCAACGAAATAAGTTTAAATGAAGTGCAGCAAAAACATGTGTATAATTTCATATATTATGACAGACTACAGTCTCTTACTACAGCCATAGTACATAATCCTCTTAGTGTACATATTGTAAATATTAAACTTAGACTATAGTCTTATTTGTATACAGCTTTGTAAATTCATGTATTTATTTAGTGTTTGATTTGTTGTCTGCTATTTACTGAAATTGTTTTAGTACTGCATTGATTTTCCTTAATTGTAAGTATGGCTTTCTGTCCAGGGATTGTACTGCCCGGAACTTGCAATGCTTGGGAATGGAGTAATGTTATGAACTTTGGACATTTGTAAATAATTTTATTGAAATTATTTATCTGTGAAATTGAAGTATTTTTTTTGTATAATATAACATTGAACATGGAGTAAACTGCTATCTCACTAAACTGGCCAAGGTGGCAAAGGAATTGGGGTCTAAATTTTGTTGCCATACTTGGTGACATTTTAGTTTGGTCCCTATATAACTGTAATTGGTACTGTGATTGAATAAATGTAATTGATTCCTATATGTACTGTAACCATATCTGGCCCTCATATGACTTCCAGTAATTCTGAGAAGTGATAGGTAATCAGTGGCATAGCGAGGGGGGGCAAGGGAGTGTATGATGCCCCGAGCGCTGCTCGCAAGGGGCCGCCAAATGGTCTCCTTGCGAACAAACAAGGTTTCCAAACAAAACGAAAACAAGATTTTCCAGAAAATTTAAGTTTTTATTTTGATCGATTTCTGAAAAATGTATTTAAAATTAATAATCATTGTAATATAATTAATTATTTATTTCCTTGTATTGCCTGATAAAATGTGTAATAAAATGTTTGCAGTACATGAACCAAATATCTCCGTATACAAAACATTCTTTACAAAACACTTTATTTCTCTAAAATAGAGATATATTTTTACTTTTTTAAACAAAATGCACGTATAGCTCCCACTTTTTATTTTGAAACGATAACACGACCTTGTCCCGAATTTCTCAAACATATCCAGTTTTCAGAAACCGATTTCATAGTCTGGAAATGACATTTTAAAAAACTCCTAACGCTTCCGCTACAAAGGATTGTGTTTGACTCTCCTGTAAACGACTGATGGCCTTCCTAGCTAGCGATTCAACTAAGTCATTTTGTTGAGTCATCGTATATTCATTGCTACAAAGCATTTGACATGCAGTGGCATAGCTAGAGGGGGCATCTGTCCCCGGAATCCAAGGAGCGCCAAATTGATGTTACGACATTTTAGAATTAAATGTTTTCCATCCTTGGCAAGCAATAGGTGGCGCGCATTCTTCAGTTGTCCCTGGGTGCTGAAAACCCTAGCTACAACTCTGTTGACATGTGTCAATTGTTTTTAATCTCCTACTACAAAAGGAATGCTGCAGGTTGCTCCTTACTCCTTATGTAAAACACATAGTTTTCAAGGTCACAGGCTAAATTTGCATATTCCCAACTTTGTAAGCATTATAATTTTCCTTTATAATCTCTTCCATTTCCTTTTCTTAAAAAGGTTGTCGATTATATGGTTATTTTATACCGAACCACAATATCCCCTAATTGTTTTGAGCAGTAAATATGCCAGCAAGATGTAACTCCACAGTAGAAAATGAAACTGAACCTAAAACTGCCATTACAGATCTATAGAGAAAATGATTTTCCAAACCTAACAGTCGCACTTCAAATACTCCATACTATTTCATTATCAAATGTTAGCTATGTACGTTCGTTCAGAAAATTAAAATAAATTTTGACATATTTACGATCAACGGATGGGACAAGATCCCCTAAGTCATCTGGCACTTTTAAATGTGGAAAGAGAAGAACTTTAAAATGATCGACTTTGATGAAGTAATTGATAAATTTTGCTTCATTCCAAGGCAAGAAAAATTGTATACTTAGTAATTAATTGTATTAATGTATTATAATATTTATTATTATTATAAACATATCTACTTATCTATAATATAAACTTTTAATTGTTTAAAAATTGTACTTTTTAAAAACAATGACATGTAATTGTATTTTAAAAACAATATGTAAAATAAATAATATTTTTTTAACTAATTCTAGATCATCGTATGTCTGATTTTTCCGCTGACACAGATACATTTCTGAATCCAATGCTAGTGTAGTTAGGTAGCGACTATTCTTAATATATTTTAGAGTATTTTATGGCAGATTCAGCATTTTAATATTATTTGCATTATTTTTTTATTACGAATATATTCTATACATTATATTACTATAAGTGTTTTTGTGTGGGGGGGGGGCGCCAGCTACGCTTGCTACGCCACTGTAGGTAATAGACATTTTTTGGTGGCCAGGGAAAAACTATATAAGACTGAAGACAGCATCAGTTTCTCAGTTCAGAGTCGACTGCGCAGTACTGAGATACCTCCACGTGAGCTTTGCTCTTAGATGCACTTTGCATTGCATTGTGTTTAATATTCTTAGTAGTGTAGCTATTGATTGTGTTTCATGATACTGAGAAGAACTGGACATGTACTTTTGTGGAAAGTTCCAAAACTGCAAAGTGTTCCTTTTGTAAAATAAATTTTATCAAGATATCATCAGCTACAGGTGTTTGCAATCTATTAAAAAACCGAATATACACAATAATATTTTTATACTTTGCATAATTTAAAATTCCCCCCCCCAAAAAAAATCCCCCTTCAGATTTTAAATTACGTCCAAAGGGGCATTTTTTTAACATTTTTTGTGTTACCTTTATTTATTAAATATCATGACATTTGCACTTAAACCATAAAATTCAGTTCAGTAGCACTGTCAGAAAATAATTTTAAAATGAAAGAATTTTAGAATTTCCGATACACAGTTCCGTGCCCGCTGGAAATAAAAAGGTGTCCCCCCTTTCCGCCATAGAATGTTGCCATTGCTGACTTTTAAATCGTTGAGTTTGTTACCGAAAAATTCGTCAAAATTTTACAAAATATGAAATTGGTAATAAAACAAATTCCAAATTTCAAATTTGGTCTTCCACATGCCCATATTTGTAGGACAATTACGTCATTCAAAATTCGATGTCTCTATGTACTGTTGTTTTATCACAATGCGAGAAATATAAATACATTTATGCACATTTTTCATTATTTAATTTCTTCATATATAATGCAAAACTCTAACATTTGGTGGCAACAGTTTGAAAAGTGAAACAGACATTTATAGTGATTCAATGCAAAATCGCAAAACAAAAACAATAGTCCTTTAGGGACAAAGCCCTTTTGGACTAAAAAAAACTTACTGTGACAGCAGTTAGATGTTCAAAATTTTCAATTCTTCGTATTCTACAATGTGTTAGATCAATATCCTGGGGGAAAAAATTATAATCTATAGCATAAAACAATTTACTTCAGAGATTATGATAAAGAGATATTAAAAAGACAAGGCAACATTTCAATAAAGATTATGACAACACTAAAATAATATGAAACAGTATGAAATTAATATATCAGTTATTTTAATTAGTAGCTTATTAATAAACAAAAATTTGTTTGAAAGAAATAAATAATTAGAGTTTATAAAATTCTAATAATACAGCTGTTCAGAGAATGGTTGAGTAATTTTTGTACTTGCATATTAGCACAACCATTTTCGTGGAAATTGCTAAATTTTCAGAATGCGCCAAACTCTGTCAATCATGCCTTTTATAATTTTTCAAGTAATTATGCGCAGAACAATTTTTCAGTTTTAACAAAAAATGTAATTTTTATATATTCACTTCAAGTTCAAATATTTTAATTGATAAAATATCATATTTTTGACTTGAACTCAATTTTAAGCTATGTGCTTATTGGATATGTATACAACAGAAGAAACTGCTATACAATTTTTATAGGAACAGCATATTTTACTGCAAAATTGTTAAAAGGGACAATTGCTTGGAATTTATTCTTAAAGCATATCAAAAAATTTTAAATTTGTTCTTCCACAAAATTTCCACAAAACAACAATATACTTGTAAGTAGTTTTATTGATTGATTTTCATGTAAATGCCTAATTAAAATGCAAAATATGTATGTAATAATATTTTTGAAATTATAATTGACATTTATGATAGCAAGATGGTTGTTCTAATATGTAAGTACCATAACTTTTGCTAATCAAGACAAATTTTAATCAACCTTCATTACAAGACTAAACACTTTCGAAACCCTGAATCTGATGTTGTTGTCTTTTCCATGTTTTCATGGAAGAATGGTAGCCAGAGCCTCAAGGAGGCTGGACTTCTACTTACACCCCAGTTTTGAGGGAGAGCACCCTGGGGAGTAGTCCTGAGCACCTCCCACCCCTCTCCTCTATCACCAAACCACATGAGAGGTCTTTCGACTCACCATATATTTGGAGTGCCCCCATGCCACAAAGACACTATATATTTACAAACATCCAGGCCTTCTCCGGGATTCGAAGCCGGGTCCTTCCGTACTGCAGTAAGCTCCCATAACCACTACATTGTCTAGGCGGCACTCAATATGATATATAATAAAACTAAGTAAAATACTACAATGACTATATGACAAAATGATATAAAAAATAAATAATTCAACAGAACGCAAGTTTAAAGCTAGGCTGGCACAGTTTTCTGGGCAAAGATACTTGATTCAGGAAGTGAAAGAAATTGAATAAATTCAAATGTAATTTAAACTAAAATTTTAAGTATGGTGCTACTTTAGAAAATGATTAATAAAGTACCATACATATTTACCTTTCATATACTCTTATCATGTTGAAACTGACAAATATCTTTTATTTGTAATTATTTTTGGTACTTGGTACTTTCTAATTATTTGTACCCTTATGAAGAGTTGCTACTTTGTAAATTGGTAAAAAGTGCTCATTTGGCTATATTTATTAGAAAATTATATAATAAAATGAAGCATTTTATAAAATTTATAAATTTGGAACTGAGAAGGGAAAAAATGCAGCACTTGTGACTTTTTAGAAATTGTAGGAAAAAAAATAATATGTTGATAAATTTAACAAAAACAGCAGTATGCATCTTCTACCCTTATGCACCGAAATATTACCCACGAGATCTTTTATCAGAGGTTTTGTTTGACTAATAGTGATAAATGTACCAACTTAAGAGTGTTTTTTTTATAATAAACTCAGCTGAGAGTTCCAAATAAAATCTTTAGCTAAGATAATTAAAAAGAGATTGAAAATGTTAAAACGTTTGGCAGGTTGTCTCTGGGATTGTTCCAGGTCAACACTAAAATATATAAAGCATTTATTTTACTGGTCTTTTGCTAATGCTGTGAGATTTTGATCACAGCTCCAAAGAACTTAATTAAAAGATTGGAAATCTTACAAAACCAGGCCCTAAGACTAATTACTGGGACCCTATAGATGCAATGCTCCTTTTTTTACAAGCAAAAGACCTATTAAAGCTATTATTAATAGGAAAGCTGCACTGCATTTTGAGAAATTAATGAGAATTGGAATTCCTTTTTGGCATTACTACAGAAATAATCACATGAATCTTATAACTCAAGATGGATTCCTCCAGATGATGAAACAGATCCAACCATGAACTGGAAAATGAGATTTTTCAGAAACACAGTACATCTTTTGGAAAATGAGATTTTTCAGAAACACAGTACATCTTTGTAGTTGATTTGGAGAAAGATCTACTTAAATCTACTCAATGTAGTTTGAAACATCAAATATCTCAAGACACTTTAAAAATTTTTACCTCTGAGATTATATATACACTTTATCCTGAACCTGACTGGTTTCATATCTATAGGAACAGTTCATTTACTAAAAGTCACTAAAGGTTTACTAAAGGTCATTGCATTCTATCCAGTTTTCATTCTACTTACACATGGATATGTACAGAACTGCTTTGGATGGTAAGATAATGGCTATTTGTGTGACCCTAAGACAGATTAATGCCCAATATTTCAGTTTTAACAAAGTGAACAAAACCAGGCCTTAAGACTAATTACTGGGGCCCTATAGATGCAATGCTCCTTTTTTTACAAGCAAAAGACCTATTAAAGCTATTATTAATAGGAAAGCTGCACTGCATTTTGAGAAATTAATGAGAATTGGACTCCAGGGCATCCTCTTGAACTCCAGGGCAGAACTACAGTTTATTGGATGAGGAGTCTGTCCAAGCTTCAAGGAAATCTTTGAATCCCTGATTCTTTTGGAGAAACTGAGACTAAGGAGTGAAAAGACTACTACATCAGATTCACGGTGACTGTGGCTTTTATGAAGATGATCAGGCTGACAAACTTGCAAAAAAAGCACAGAAAGCATTCAGAAGATATCTAAAAATTGTTCTTATCATTCTGCAAAAGTATACATTCATAAATTTTTGAAACAAAAATGAAGAGGTGAACCTATGATGCATGTCTCAACCAAGAGCTAGAGGGACATCTTGGAAAGGAAATTACCAGACAAACCATGGAAAACAGCTGTGGCCAGTTTTAGGCTTGAAACTGGTCACAACTGCTTTGTGAGATATTTCTATTATATTGACATTCTTACCAGCCCAAACTTCCCACTTTGGAGCTTAAATGAAGAAATGAACAGGATCCAGATCAGAAAGGCCCAGTGAAAATTCTCTGAGGTGGATAGGTATTGCAGCATTAGAGGCCAAATAATGAAGTATTGAATTTTTAGATTATACATTCCCAAAGGGGTGTTTTTTTAACGTTTTGTGCATTATCTTTATTTATTAAATATCATGTTCTTTGCACTTAAATAATAAAATTGAATTCAACTGCAATATCACAAAATATTTAAAAGAGCATATCTTTAAAATTTCCGATATACAGTATCGCACACTGAAGATACCCCTCCCCAGTACAGTGTTACCATTGCTCGCTTTGAAATTGTTGAGTTTCTTAAACAAAAACCCATAAATGCTTTACAAAATATGAAATGATAACAAAACAAATTCCAAATCTGGGCTTCCAGATGCCCAAATTTGGATGGAGAAGTACGTTATTCAAAATTTGATGGCTCTAATACCATTGTTTTATCACAATGTGAGAAACATAAATACATTTATGCAGATTCTTCATTATTAATTTTTTTAAATATAATACAGGGCTCTAATATCTGGAGGCAACAATTTAAAAAATGATTTGCCGTTTATAGTGAATCAATGCAAAATGCAAAAATGAAACTAATAACACTTCTGGGCAAATTGTTCCTTTGGACTAAAAAGAGTAAAAATTCACAATTCAAATTAATAATAATAATAATGAGTAAATTGTGATTAATAAAGTAATAATTAGCTATAAAACAAGTAAATATATATATATTTGAACTTTTATACACACATATGTGGGTTGATTATTGTCAATGCATATATTAAACAAAGCGTGCAAAACTTGATTCTACTGACTATCAGAACGGATAATTAGAAAGTACCTCATTTATTCTTACTCAATATCACTTATTTAATATAAAAAAATAATTACTACACAGCCCAGAATATAAGATATTTTCTCCCTTCAAATGCCTTAGTGAAAACCCCATTCGTCTTACAAGATTTACCTCAGACTTATATATTTTAAGATACATCACTTATTACTTAATTAAGTAAGATATTTTCTCCCTTCAAATGCCTTAGTGAAAACCCCATCCCTCTTACACGATTTACCTCAGACTTACATATTTTAAGATACATCACTTATTACTTAATTAAGTATTAAATGAGATAGAACTACTTTAATTATCTTATACAGTACAAAGTCTGAAATCCGGACGTCCATTATCCGGAATAATCTAAACCCCGGATCTCAAAGCCATAAACATTTTTGTTTGTATGCTTTACGCATGCGCATTTGATTTTTCCTTCCAGAATAAAACATGTGGAGATTTTCACCTAAAAATTCCTATTCTTAATTTCACTTAAGCACTAAATAAAATACCTCGTTATGGAAAAACAATCATGTAAGCATAAATTTGTGAGATTAATAATTTGGCTCTGTAGCAAAGTGTCTGCGGTACTTATGTATTATCGCAACCAGGTTGGCGCGATTTGTAAGTTTGAGTAAAAAAGTGTGAATAGAAAGAAAATGTACATTTATTAATTACAGATAATTTTTAATACAGTTTTTTAGATTATTTTGTTTTAAAATATAAAATAGCAATTAAACCCTTCCGGTTTCGAATTTGAATAAGTTGCAGAATTATTTTTGGCGGAAATCTTTTGGCTATTGCTTTTAGCACTGATTGAAAACCGTCTTCGCCATTAACAGCTTGAGCTTGGCGCCATATAAATTCGATAAGGTATGAGTCAAGATGATGACGGGCTGTTCCTCTCTGTTTTTTGTTGCGCCATTTGGC